GTGTGTTTATGGACTCAGCAGTCTGTGTGTGTATGGACTCAGCAGTCTCTGTGTGTGTCTGTGGACTCAGCAGTCTCTGTGTGTCTGTGTGTGTGTGTGTATGGACTCAGCAGTCTGTGTGTGTATGGTCTCAGCAGTCTGTGTGTGTATGGACTCAGCAGTCTGTGTGTGTGTGTGTGTGTGTATGGACTCAGCAGTCTGTGTGTGTGTATGGACTCAGCAGAGTCTGTGTGTGTGTACGGACTCAGCAGAGTCTGTGTCTGTGTACGGACTCAGCAGTCTGTGTGTGTGTATTTACTCAGCAGTCTGTGTGTGTGTGTGGACTCAGCAGTCTGTGTGTGTGTGTATGGACTCAGCAGTCTGTGTGTGTGTGTGTGTGTGTGTGTGTATGGACTCAGCAGTCTGTGTGTGTGTGTGTGTGTGTGTGTGTGGACTCTGATAAAATAATCAAAGCATTTCATAGTTACTACATAGACCTATACAACCTATACGATAGCAGTCTATCAATAATTAAAATTCCTGTGAGTTGTTGTGTAGGAAGGGCCCCAGTGCATTGCTTTGCCCAGGGGCCCTTAATTCTGTTAAAATGGTACTGCTTGTGTGTGTCAGTGAGCTTCTATTTAGTGAGCATGTGTGTGTCAGTGAGCTTGTCTTTAGTGAGCTTGTGTGTGTCCCTGAACTTCTTTGTAGTGAGCCTTCTGTTTATACAAGTGAGTTTGTTTGTAGTAAGCTTGTGTGTGAGTCAGAGAGTTTTGTCTGTCAGTAAGCCTATGTGCGCATGTCAGTGAGCTCGTGTGCTTACTGTAATATATATAGTATTTTTTGACTTGTAGGAATGGCATACATTTTTTTTCCAGGGCTGCTTTGGATTCCCAGGGATTCCCAGTTTGGCTCTGCCAGCGAGTGCACTTTACCGCTGAATCATCTGTGTGAGCTACCGCACACTTTAGCCCTGTTACACGCGTCTGGGAGCTGCTGTTGACAGGTACTAGTAGTCTAGAGATTGGGACTTGGGGTATATGCTCAGCTATCTGTATAATACAGATCTGTGTGTTTATAATATCCCGTGATAGTCAATGCTTCCTGTATAGTGCTGCTCTCTGTATAATACAGGCCTGTGCCTGTATAATATCCCAGGACAGTCAGTGCTCCCTGTATAGTGCTGTTCTCTGTCTTGGGATATTATACACAAACAGACCTGTATTATACAGAGAGCAGCACTATACAGGGAGCACTGAGTGTCCCAATTTATTATACACACAACCCTGTATTATACAGAGAGCACTGACTGTCCAGGGATATTATACCCAGACAGTAATTGATAGCTGTGCTGCAAAATGTCCTTGGAATTTTTTTTTCAAATGTTGGCAACTATGGCACTGTATCAAGGGTAATGTGTTTGTTTTTTTAATAATCCCTGGTGGAAAATAATGAATCCTCCACCAGGGATTATTAAAAAAACAAAACACATTGGGTCTGGGGCGGGGCTTAACATGCGACAGGGGCGGGGTTAAACTGTGGTGAGGGCGTGGTTAAATGTACCCCCCTACTTTTGTTCCTGGCCCTCCATGTGCCCCCCCTAAAAATGAATCCTAGAGACGCCACTGTCGGAGACGTGCTCCTGCCCAGATTCCTAATGGCCTTAACTCCCTACAGGACGGAGGACCTTTCC